CTATACTTCCCCTCCCCCTCAATCTACTTGATTCAATTTTTTACTTACAAGCTTTTAATAGTACAAATAGCTTTACAAGTTTATCTACTGTGTAGTTTTTAGAAGGATAATCTTTTTACATGTTATTGTTTTATGTTGGGTTTTTCCATTTAAAGTAAAAAGTATTACAACTCATGATACACTGGGAGAAAAAAAACTGGAAGAGAGTATGAATGGGAGTGAGGATTGAGGGGAACATAAAGGATTCCTTGGTTAATCTTTATGATGATACCTTTAATATTATGTTACTATATTTTCCACTTATACTTGCCCCTTTAAAAATTGGGGTAAAGTACCACTATGTAAAAATGACTTACCATTCTTGAAGTGCCATACGAAATGGTCCAGGGATTGTATGTTTAATTCTTCAGGAATGTTAAGCTTCCTAAGATTGACCCAATTAGGGTCATGTTGGTCCTTGGTACTATACTGTATAATTTCCATGGATAAATATAAACATTATAGATTTTTAAAATATAACATGTACTAGATAGTTTATTAATGAAAGGAATAGAAAAACAGGGAATTTATCAGCCTCTTTCTTTCTGCGACACAATGCAGTTAATTAACATATGCTTGGGCTTGCTTCTGGATTTGGTAACCAATGACTCTTTTCAGAAAGGAAAACATTTAAATTTTTAAAAGTGACCTTTTTATTCCAAGTAGTCTTTCACAACTCAGTTTAATTCCTTTTTTTTGTCCTTTGTTTTCCTTTATTCCAAGATATATATCATAGTTCATTTGAAAAACTGATTTTCCTCTTTTTAATGCCCAGAATCTTTTTCCTTAGATAAGGTTATTTTATTTATACATAAAGACACTTAAACATATTATTTTATTTATGCTTTAATTATAACAAATGCAATCTCAAGTATTAGTAAAAAATTAGAAGTTGAATGTTAAAATTAATGTTACATTATATCAATGATTTTCTGAAAAGTCTCACACCTATAAGTCCTGTTGCATCATAGAAAAAAACCAACCTAACCCTGGGATGTTCATGAGATTTATATATCATCCAAAAGATCTGAAAGTAGTTTTTAAAAATTATTTTTCTATCGGTTATTACATGGTATTTTACCTGAAAATATAAATATTGCCAATAAATGTCAATTTAATTGCAAAAGGAATTACTCTGAAGGCAAACACAGTATTAATCAAACCAATCCTCTAAAATAAATATTAGATCTTTATTCTTAAAGACTTATTTAGATTACATAGAGTTTAAATTTTAGAATTATCTAACTAAACTTTTCAAAAGTTAAGTGTATCTTGCAACAGTATTAATTATGATTGATTATATGTTACTGTCTGCTCTGGAATGAAATTACTTTTGTATGATTAACATTTGAGGATTATTTAGATATAGACAATTCTAAACTACTTGATTAATAAGTATGTATATTAACATTAGCTATTGAAAAATCTGTAAAGAAACCAGTTTCTTAGCTGAAAATCTGTCAGTTATTGATTGTTTATTTAGAAAATCTAATCAACTGTATTATGCAAGGTAGATTTTTCTTTAGTCTGCAGAATAAAGCTCAGCCTGTAATTAGCTTCTAAACACTAAAACACATTAAACAAGCATTTAATGAGGACCTACTATGTGCAAGACACTTGCTAAGACTGCATGAGTTAATAAAACCCCTCACTACCTCAAAAGGTTCATTGCTTTATGATATGGAATTTTCCAAAAGTTATTCAGAAAAAAAATGCTTTTAAGAACTTTTTAAGTGGTACTTGAAAATAAAGGGACAGCACTCATTTATGTTGAGCTAGATAACAAACTAGATTCAGAAATAACTAAGTTTTTTAATGAGAATAACATAGATATAACGCTCATAATAAACTTGGTAGATAAAAGAATTTTTGGCTGCCAGATAAGAAAAACAATATTTTATCCAGCGATTCTTTCATGTAAAAAAGGAAAGTGTTTTCTAGGACATAAAGGGTTTTTTTTTTTTAATTTTTTGAACTAATTTATTTAGAAACAGGATTATAAACAAGTTTAATGGATGCACTTAACCATAATAATTATTTTCTGTAAAAATTTAGGATCAGACCCAATATGAAATTTTAAATATTTAGGGAAGTAATGAATCTGAGTTAGGGAAAATGTATCTATTCTTAGCATTATACAAATATACCTTAACAATGGGTATGGTGTACTAAGTATAATATACATAAAAAGAAGAGAAAAAGTTCATATTAAGAAAAGGTAAATAATACTTAGAATGCAAATATCATTTTGAATATTTCTTTCATAGTATCTACCTATGTAAATGACTATATATATAGAAAAGCAAATAAAAAGACTTTGTGCTGAAGTTAAGGAAAAAAAGGAAAATCATAGGAAAACAGATTACTTAAAATACAGTTTCCCACTAGAGTCAGTTTGGAAGTTATATCACAAAATATTGTGGTTTGCCTCAGTTCTGGGAAATAGATGACCCCGTATTTTTAGTTGATATATATGTGAATGAGAGTATTAGATACAATTTTGTTTTGTTCTGCAGGTGCTAGATGTACTTTTTAGAAGGATATTTTGAGATGTGGGACCAGATTTAACGGGTGGAATTATTTTAGGAGATTGAGATTTTCCTTTTAAATTATTCTAAAAATTCCATGGCAATTTTTTTTATCTGGTTATGTACTTAAGAAAAACAAACTTGTCAACAAGACTAGAAATTTAAAGTTTTATCCATTATGAAATATAGACTTAGTATAGTACAGAAAAATAAATAGACCAATTCTGTACTGTTTACACACAGATATGTTTTTATACACACACACACACACACACACACACACACACTGACACACGTATGTTATTCCCTTCTTTTCCTGCATCCAAACTACAGGCTAGTATGCAGTAAATTATCAATAAAGACTGAATGATTATATAATTGGATATATGAATTAGTTTATGATGTTTGCTACTATTGCTTTCCACCATATTTTATAAATATACTAAATATTATACCTCTATTATATAACTTACGAATAGTTTTATATTTAGTACATGAGTTAAAATGAAAATTACTTATGTAGACCCATTTGTCTTATAATTTTTTAAGTTGTTTTTCAATATGTAAAAACCATTTCAAAGAATTAAAAATTTCACTTGTTATCACTATCTCCCTCATATAAAATTATTTATATACAGCTTTGTTATGAAGTATATTCTTTTAAATTTTAAGTATGTCTTCCAAATTATGATTTAAAGAACATTGGAAATAATGTTTACTGCATTTCTTTTATTAAATGTTATGGCACCCAACCTTCTTTCCATATAAATTAATTCCATTGGAAGAACTAAGTTCTAATACATTAAAAATATTTATTTTCTGATAATATAGTAATTAATGTTTAAGCAAAATTCTCGGGGAAAGAAGTTTGACACTGATTTTAAATGAAGATGATTCTACCTGAGGAGTCTGCTGGTTGGCAGTCTTTGTAGAAGAGTTAAGATAAAATACAGTTAAGAAATGTGAAAACAGGATAGCTTTACCTGAAGGCAGTTTTTAATTTTAGAAGTATCAGTAACATTTTAAAGAATGTTATTATTATATATTCAGAAGCCAATTATTACCATCTCCTAAAAAATTCCTACATTTTTTAAGTGTGAATAGTAACCTTTTAAAAACGCATTATTATAGTTGACTCATTTTTTTAAATATAGTTTTTTCCTATCAATACTTGAGATTGCCATTAATGTAGATCTCTTAGCTTTCAATGTATTTCAATATATTTGATGCTTTTATATACTTGTATTCTGTAATAGCTCTCTTTCCCCTCCTTTATGAAAACATTTGGAATGCAAAAACGTTTCTCTTTTGATGATTGACTAGAAGAACTTGGGTGTCTTCATTCATGCATCCTACAATTGCATATTCTAAATCACGTTTCGTATTTTTAATTTTTGGTGAACTTCCATTTTGAAAGATACAAAAGCTATGGCTTCACCTTATCATGCTGACCATTTAAACACGGTACTTATAGCCATATTAAGTATTATGCTTTTATTAGACATTTTTTTAAATTTAAATAAACACTGGGCAAAGGCATGGCAGAAGATTTTACAAATTTGCTTAGCACCCAGGTATGCTAATCTGTTTTTTCAAACAGGCCTAATCCATTTTCTATTTGTAATTGATGGAGTTCTATTTTTTTTCCTTCAGCCACTAAAATGACCCCAAAGTTTCAAGAGTAAATTTGGACAGCTTAGTCAAATCTGAGAAATCCTCAGTAAAAATTCCGACTTGTGGTGTTAATTATATTTTGCTGGCTGAACAGGAGAAATTGAATTCTTTTTCAAATTCCTCATAAACAACTATGTGTACTAAGCTCTTAGCAGCCTTGTTTTTATTGGTCCATCTCGCAGCGTAACTCAGGGTTTTGACCTTCAGTGTGTAATATGCTTTCATTAGTCACTGGAGCCAATGTGGTGTGTAAATGTGTGCTGAATCTAGTTGCATTTCCATTTTGGTAAACTTTGGGATGTGAAGTTTTATGGGTGGAGAGGTTGTGGCAGGACTGAAGTTAGCATGGCCAACTGCAGGAAGCCATGCTACCTTACAGCCCTCTGGGAAGCTGGCATAAATGTTCCACCCTTAACCCACAGGCCAGTTCTGGAGGAAAATGCCATCAGGTAGGTAGGTTCCTTGTGGAGGAAGATTTCCACACAATTGCCCGCCAGCTACTGACTAAGCCCAAAATAAGCCCTGGGAATGTTCTCCACTTCCGTCCTCTAAAGACCTCTCAGTCGTGCCGCGGGAAGATGCCCCCCAGAGCCCCTACTCCCGCGTGCGCGCCCCCGTTGGCTCCTTCAGCTCCCCCCTCCACCCCGCGCGCCGCCGCACTAGTGGGTCCCACCCTCAGCACACCTCGGTGGCTGTGACCGGCGCCAGAGAGGGAGAGGGGCCCAGGTGGAAGGCCGAGGCTGCAGGACGGGCGCGGCGGCGCGCACGCAGACCTCGCCCGGCCCCAGCCTCCTTCCTTACGCAGGGCGCGCACGCCGAGTGACGCTCAGAGGAGGAAGCGCAGTTCCTTTTCCCCTCCCTCGCTGCCCCTGGCCCAGCGGGAGCCCCCCCCAGTGCGCCTGTGCGGAGGCCTAGTTGATTATGTGTGCCCTCTCCGGGCCTCAGCGCTAGCGGCCGGGTGGAGGTGGGGAGGGAAGAAGACGAGGAGGAGGAGGAGGCGGTGGAAGGGAGGTGGGGGGAGTCAGCAAGGACATGGCTCCTGACTCCTGTGCGGAACGTGAGTGACTGAGCGGCAAAGCCCGAGTGAGCGAATGGCCGAACGGCGGGTGGGGGCCGGGACCCGGGAAGGGAGCGGGGCTGTCGGTGGCTGTTCGGGAAATCACTAACTGGTTTGCATGTGTTTTTTAATGGTACCCCCCAACTCCCTCTTAGATGGTCTCTAGCGACCGGCCCGTGTCACTGGAGGACGAGGTCTCCCATAGTATGAAGGAGATGATTGGAGGCTGTTGCGTTTGCTCAGACGAGAGAGGCTGGGCCGAGAACCCGCTGGTTTATTGCGACGGGCACGGCTGCAGCGTCGCGGTGCATCAAGGTAAACACCCAAACGCCCGTTCGCCGTGCCGAACCCGGCCTGCTTCCAACCGTCACTGCTGCCCCCACCGTGGCATCAACTGCCAGTTCCCTTTCTGTCCCTCCCCCCGTCCCGCCCCACCCCCGTCCCGTTCAGAGGCCCTGGGATGGCTCGGAGGGTTAGCAGAGGGGTAGAAGGGGGTGTGAGCTGTGCATGTGGGAGAAAGTGCGTGTGGCCTGGACTGTCATGTGATTCTGCTCTCACTCTCTCAAGTGTCATTTGGCCGCCGCCTACACCGGCATCCTTGGGTCTGGAGACTTTCTGCGGAAGGAGTGGTGTGGGTTCGTGGCCTGTGCCCAGGGGTAGTGAGAGTGGGCCCAGAGCAAGCGCCCCTCCTTCCTGTCACGGTGACGGTGGGCTCCAGTTTGGGAATGTGAGACCCCTCCCCCTTCACCACCTCTCCAGTCTGCCGCAGTGTGTCTGGAGACTTCTGTGGTATGGAGTCGGAGTCTGGAACGCGACTCCTTGCGTTGGGGAGGGAAGGAGGATTGCCTTGCCTCTTTAGTGAGGAAAAGAGGACACTGCAGCACCCTAAGCCTTCAGGTGGAGGCCCTGATGCTGACAGGGAACTCCTGCAGAGAAGACGGCCTCCAGCCGCCACCCCCAGCCTGCAAGATTATCTTGGTTGAACTACCTTGGCTGGTGGATAAGGTAGCTGCATCTAGCCACTTGTTTAGTTTATGTTACTGTAAAGAAGAGGAGGTGGTGGTGTCGCAAGTGATTTGAGAAGCATGTTCGTAGTAGTTACTTTTGTTTTTTCCGTCTGGTGGATTGTTGAGGAAACTTTGTAAGATATGTTTTGGCCATTGAAGTTTATGATGGAAACAAGCTTGTGGGTTTTTTTTTTTTTTTGGTCTCATTTGTTTCACCACTTTGAATCTGACATTGAGCAATGCATATATTGTTTAGGATATTGGAACGATAATGGGGGGTGGAGGAAAATCATAACATAAGGTGCTGAAATACAGTGTGATCGGAAATTTCAGAAATGTGCAGCAAGACTTACGTCCAGTGTAGTAATGATTCTGAAATATTGAGTTTACCTGAAAATGTAGTTATTTCCGTTAAGGGAACGCAAAATTGCACACTTTTTAAGGAGTGAAGACATTTTATATCAATATTGGCTATTATTAAACAAAGGCATTTATAATTTAAACTTGTGGAATGAAACGTGTAAGGTTTCTATTTTTTAACATTTACAATCTCATTAGTAGGCACTGGGAGTATTTTTTATGACTTGCATAAACTATCACATGTTATTAAGTAGTTTGGTTTCCTCATACATTAGATGTCAATGCTAACATTTCTAGAATTATTTATAAGTAAAATGTAAATGCTTCTTTTAATATTAAAGAGAAATAAAATTAGGCTTTTAGGAGTGAAGTTTTTAAGCACTGAATTCTGTGTATCAATAGGACATTTTAACTTTGGTTTGCAAATATCTTAAAAGGAATAGAAAATTAGTTTTTGGAGTTATGAAAATTTCTTCTGATTTTATGTTTCTCATAGTTAAGGTTTAATATTTTAAAAATCTCTGCACAAAGTAATGTCAGAAATTAATTGTTAATGTTTTTAAATTTTTGCAAAAAATTCCATTTTGAACTAATTACATGTTGATACTAAGTTACTAAACCAGGCTGTGATGTAGATAAGTATGATATATATATTCAGATCAGTTGTTTGATTAATGGCAATATTTAGCAGTAAACATACATTTTACTTTTGATTACATACGTACTGTATAATCATTTAAAGTTTACAATCCAGTGATTTTCTGGACTGGTATATTTGGTATATTTATAGAGTTGTGTAGGCATCACTGCAATCATCTTCATCATTCTAACAAATCTTATAACCTTTAAAGTCACTCTTCACCTTACCTTGCAAAGTCCTGGGTAACCAACCACTAATCTACTTTTTGTCTTTAGGCATTTGTCTATTATAGAAATTTTATATGATTGGAAGCATTTTACTTTAAACACTACATTTTGTTTTCTACAGTGTCAGTTGCTCGTTCTTTAAGGTGTTTAGAAATGTTTTTGTTAGACTTAAAGTACTTGTTCTATACACTGAAAGATACAGGAATGAAAGATCTTTCTGTGCATTATATTTTACCTAAAAGTAAGTCGTAAGAAGTAATTAGAAATTGTAGAAAGTTTGAAACTTATGTAAAGCAACAAAAGACTTGGTTTAAATTTTTATTATTGAAATATCACACAATTTTACTTTTTTCTTAAGTAAGCTGTATATGTGGTAAAAAAGCCTTGATAGTGTAAGGTGTCATGTCCTGTGCTACTGTGACTGGATGGTTAGCATTTTGAAGGGAGAAAGATGGGCAGTTTCCTCCTGTAAGGAGGCTTCATTGAAAATCCAGTAGAAGATTGCGATGATTTAAAATATACTTGATGGCAGTAATTTTGGGTATGGATGTTTGTGATAAGTAGGATATAAAAAGTTCTAATTCTTTGTAAAGCAAGTAGTTTACTTGAATAGTTTGAGAAGCAGTTTATTAGAATCTTGAAAGGGTACTTGATTTTCCTAAGTCTTAAAATCTTAACACTTTAAAACATCTTATTTCCTAACAGCTTGTTATGGCATTGTTCAAGTACCCACTGGACCATGGTTTTGCAGGAAATGTGAATCTCAAGAGAGAGCAGCCAGAGTGGTAAGGATTATTTGTCATAAACCTTGAAATATTTAATGAGTAGCGATAAACATTTTAGGATATTACATTCATTGTAATTTGAAGAAATGTCAATTTTTTGCTAAAATACTGTTATTGGAGAGAATTTTGGACAAATAATGACTTAAAAAATTGCAAACAAGTTTTGTAAAATCTGAAACTTGGTTTTTTGGTTTTGCTCTTTTTTGTTTTGTTTTTGAAAAGATATAAGATAGAGAGTAAAATCTGGACTTTTCCTAACTTACAAAGAGTGTAGACAGCATGAGAATGGCAGCTTCTGACTTCTGTTAACTCTGCGAGGGGATACTGTCCCCGTCAACATCTGTGGTATAAAACTAATTCTTAAAAAGTGAAACATGGTCTCTGTGTTCTCACACTTGTGCTAATTCCAACACCAATCTATTTGTTCTACTGAGTCCAAAGTCTGTTGAATTGGCCACAAAGATCTCATAGAACTATACATCTATGCCATTTGTTGCCTTGTGCTGTCAAGTTGCTAGTGGCTGACTCATAGCAACCCTATATACAATAGTTCAGAAACCTGTCCTGTGCCAGTCTCACTCACTCCGACTACCCCCATTGCCCCAGTTACTGTGTCAATCCATCTCATCCTATTCTTCCTCTCCTGTGCTATTCCTCCATCCTTCGAAGCATGATGTCCTTCTTCAAGGACCCATCACTCCTGGACACATGCCTAGGTTATGTGAGGTGGAGTTTCAAAATCCTAGCCCCAAGGAGAAACTTGGTTTCACCCTCTCTAAGACAGACATGTTTGTTCTCTTGGTGGTCAGTGTATGTTCAATACTCCACAACACAACTCACCATCACAAAGAGATCAATTCTGTCTTCCTTGGTCATTGTCTAGCTCTCTGATGCATAGCAAGTAATTGCAAAGACCATGGCCTGCATCAGGTGGACCCTAGTCTCTAGACTTGACCTCATTGCTTCTCAGTACTCTGGAGAGGTCACTGACAGCAGATTTTCCCAGTATAATTAGTCTTGATTTCCTGACTGCTTGTGCTACGAGTGTTGATTGTGGAGCTGAGCAAGCTGAAATTGTTAACAACCTCAATCACTATCTTGGTGCTGACATCTGGTCCAATGGTGAGGATTTTTGTCTTCTTTTTCCCCCCCTTGTATACTGTTGAATCGGATCCAACTGACACAGAAGATTGTCCCTTCTTCTCCAGCAGAGCATCTGGTGGATTTGAACCATGCTCCTTTGGGATTACAGTGTAGCTTCTTGCGAGTAGGACACCAGAACTCCTTAATTTTTGTCTTCTTTATGTTGAGCTTCAATCCATATTGAAGAGTATATAGTCCTTGACTTTCTGCAGCAACTACTTCAGGTCCTCCTCAGTTTTGGCAAGCAAGATTCTGCCGGTTTACAGATAAACCATAAGTTGGTAGCAGGATAACAATATCTCAATGAGGATAGCTTTTCAAATATGGTTGCAGATCTTTTGATCTTCAGCTGCATGGCCTAGTCAGTGTTATGAAGTTATTTTGTTATTGTGTACCGTTCAGTTGGAACCAATGCATAACTGACCCTCCAGGTTTTCAAAAGCAATTTTAATTCACATAGGAGGAGACTGCCCATTCTTTTTCCTCAGAGCAGCTGGTGGATTTGAACTATTTTCACTCGGGATTACAGTGCAGCTCCTAGGGCACCAGACCTCTATAAAAGTTCTCTTAGACTTGCCAGTTACGGTATCGCCCCTCGTTCCTCTAGCAAGATTGGATCAAGGCCCCTGCCTCTTGCTTCATGAGGGCAGCAGTCCCATATCAGATCTGTGGCGTGGCGGTCTGGTTCTCACTTGTGTATTCAAGATTACAGTGCAGCTTCTCACTACTAATCCACCAGAATTCTTTTCTTAGTTGAGTTCTCAGTTGAGTCTTCTGGTATTATCCTCTGGTTCTTGGTCTGACTGGTGCAGTCTCTGGTCCCAAGGATGCACAGATATTCTCTGCTGCTTCTTCCTGGTAGTGGGATTCTCCCTGCTAAATGGTTTTCTTTTCTTTTTATTTTATTTTATTTAATAATTTTAATGAACATTTACAGAGAATTTGGATTTCCATTCATTCATTGCTGCACTTCTCTCCCCGCCCAGCCCTCTCCCCCTGCCCCCCCAAATGGTTTTCTTTTTTATAAATTTTCTTGTTTTTCTCTTTCCTGTGCTTCTCCTCTCCTTCTCCCTTAGATCCTCATACACGTTTCACTAGTTATCTGTTTATACAATAATGATCTTAAACACAATATTTTTCCTTATGAGACTGAGTTTGTGCAGTTTATCATAATGCTCTCCAGTCCCTCCGAAGTGAAATAATGATTTACAAAATCATTGTTTCTGTGTGCTGTGTAGTATTCCACCATGTGAATTTCTCAATCCATTCAATTGTGGTGGGATATTTGGGCTGTTTCCACATTCTTGCAGTGGTGAATAATGCTGCTATGAACATTGATGTACAAATATCCTTTTGTACCTCATTTCTCATTTTTTAAGAGGCTGCTAAATTTTAGTATAAACTTGATAGAATGAAAGACCTGATATTGTTCAGTTTATATACCCCTTATTTTGGTAGTACCCAGTCATGTGATGAAAGTCAATGCTGAAGACTGGGAAACTCATTTTGACCCCATGACTAGCTTTTCTGGGTAGTCAGGAAAACCTGAAACGAGTTTGAAGGTTAAATTGGCAAATCATAATTAGAATATAATTGAATATAATTACAGTAGAACAAAAGGAAAACTGCTATTTTTCTAAGTTCTTTTTGATTAGAGAAAAAAGATGGAAAAGTAATGACAGTATACTCTTACTGTATCTATGCATGTGTAGTTTACAGACAAATTTCAGTCTTTTGGGCAAGGAACATAAATATGTTTTGCTCTTGGCTGACAACCATAATGAAAATTTTATAAAATTTTTGTTAAGAGTAAGGAAATATGGTACGACCATTATGGAAGGCTGTACAGCACTTTCTCAAAAAGTTGAAAATAGAAATACCATTTGACCCAGCAGTTCCATTTACTGGGAATATATCCTAAAGAAACCAGATGTGCTACCCAAGCAGATATATGCACACCCATGTTTATTACTACTTTGTTCACAATAGCAAAGAGTTGGAAACAACATAAAGGCCCATCAACAAAAGATTGGATAGAGAAGCTGTGCTGTATTCACACAGTGGAATAATATGCTGCATTGAAAAACAAGGATCTCAGGGAGCTCTAGTGGCCTAGTGCCAAGAAGCTGCACTGGTATGGAGTTCGAATCCACCAGATGCTCAGCTGGAGAAGGAGGGGCAGTTTCTTTCCTGTACCATTCAGATCTGATTTGATGGTACACACACACACACACACACACACACACACACACACACACACTATTTAAAAAAAAGAAAAACAAGGAACTCATGAAATATGCAAAATGGATGACCCTGGAGGACATTATGCTGAGTGAAATAGCTCAGTCACAAAAAGACAAATATTGCATAGGGTCACTGTGAAGTGGGACTGACATTGGGGTTGAGGGGAAACTAAGGGGACAAATAATGTCATTGAAACAGATGAGGGGGAGAATGATTTAGGAGGAATATATGATTAGGTATTGTCATGACAAGAGTCCAGAATGAAAGCTGCATAGTGGAGTGGACTGGGGCGAGGGTGAGGCAGGGAGGAATTGTATAACAATGAAAGGTTTTTTAATTTTATTTTTTTTTTTTACTTTCCAAAGAGAAGAGCAAACTGGGGGGAGGGGTGGGCAGGGAGGAAAGTGTATAACAATAAATGAATGCAAAAAAAAGTAAGGGAAAAAGTTTGTCCATTAGTTGCCAAAAGCCTTTTTCACAGTTGAATTTCAGATGATATCAAGGAGAAAATGATTTAACCTTCATTAGTTCTGCAAAAATATTAGCACTTGTGGTATTTTCTTTCATGTTGATTATAGAGATTTTAGACAGAGACTAGAAGGTTTTAACTTATTTATCAGCTGTGTAACAAAAGCAGATGCGTTACTTATTTTTTTTTTCTTTTTCCCCTGGGCAGTTTTTGATTAGTAGAATAATGACTAACCTTTTTAGGATTAGGAATCTTTGAGCAATATTTTTGTAGTTATTTGATACATTTTGTTTGTGTATGAGAATGCACTGTAGTGGAATTAAAGCTAATGTTCTAGTGTTCAGATAATAAATACCAATATTAGGTAATTTTAACACTTAAACTCTCTTTGGAACATGTTATAATTTGGGTGGTTGGATCACCAAGCAAAGGTAGTTATGCTTTTCATTTATCAGAAAATACTAGCAATGTGGTGAAGTTGTACCTGGATATGTCACTAGCAAATTCAAGCCCAGAAAATAATGAAATAAAAGGATGGGTAACAAGTGAGCAAGGATAAAGAGATCATGAATGGGGAGCAGTAGAGTATTTGCCTCAAATACCCATTATTGCCTAGCTTTTTCCTTTATTAATCTTAGCTTAATATTCTCCTAGTTTAGTCTCATTTCACCTTTATTCTGTGTACTTGCTCATTGTTTTTCTGTACTAATTTAGTAATCAGTAACTTTCTGAGAGCTCATACTTTTCCAGATACGGTTCTAATTGCTTTATGGTAGTTACCTCATTTTAGTCATTCCTTTAGACATTAGAGATAGTCTGTTCTTCTCACTTTATGGATAAAGATAGTATAGGGTTTTTAAAAAAATTATTAATTTTAATAAACATTTACAGAGGTTTTGGATTTCTATTCATTCATTGCCACACTTTTCTCCCTGCCCACCCCTCCCTACCAGTTCACTCCCCTCTCCGAAAAGAAAAAGAAAAAAATTCCTTCATTAGTATACAATTTTCCCATTCCTTCCCCCCTACCCCCACCCCGAGTCCACTTCTCTACGCAACCTTAATTCTGGATTCCTGTGCTAACCATAATACTCAATCATATATCGCCTCTAATCTGGTCTTTCCCTCATCTGTTTCAATACAG